TGTTTCTCTCTGTCTTTCCCTCTCTGTTCCACTCTCCCTAAAAATCAATGGAAAATATTCTCAGGCAAGGATTAAATAAATAAATAAATAAATATTCCTCATTAAAAAAAAAAGAACATTAAAAAATATCTTAACAATAACAAATAGAAATAGCTAAATAATAGAATCTATAATAATATCTATTTGAGAATCAAACTCTAGTTCATCTCTAAGGCAGAATAATATGATTAAACACATGAGTTCTAGAGCTAGGTTGTCAATATCTCTGTAACTATATCCTGTTGTAAAGAAGTCCCAACACAATACTAAAGAATAATGAAGTTGGAGGACTGATACTACCGGACCTCAAGACTTACTATAAAGCTATAGTAATCAGGACAGTGAGGTATTGGCAAACGAATAAACATATTAATGGAATGGAATAGAGAACCCAGAAATAGACTCACATAAATATAGTCAAGTGATATTTGACAAAGGAAAAAAGGCAATACAGTGGAACAAAGATATTCTTTTCAACAAATGGAGCTGGAACAACTGGACATGTAAAAAAATACGACTCTAGACACAGAGCTTACCCCTTCAAAAAAATTAACTTGAAACAGATTATAGACCTAAATGTAAAATGAAAAACCATAAAATCTCTAAAAGATAATATAGGAGAAAGAAGGATCTCTTACCCTTTGAGACAGCTTGGAGGGACCTGGAGAGTATTATGCAAAGCAAAATAAGCCAGTCAGAGAAAGACAAGTATCACATGATCTCACTCATATGTGGAATCTGATGAATAAAATAAACTGATGAGCAAAATAGATCCAGAGACATAGAAACATGGAACAGACTGTCAAATCTCAGAGGGAAGGAGGGAGGGTGTATCTGGAGATTTTGACACCCCTTTCTCAGTAATTGTTAGAATAAGTACACAAGAGATCAATACGAGTGTAGAAGAGTTAACATAAGCAACCTACTTGATGTAATTGACAGTAGTAGATCATTTAGCCTAACAACTGAATGCACATTTTCTTTAAATGTATTTGAAACATTAAAAAAATAGTTTTGGTCACAAATGAAACTAACTTGAGCTACTATAAGCCAAGAAAGGCAGAGATTTATTTGGGGGCTATAATGGTATCCTAAGAGGAATATAGGGATGTAGGTATTTAAAAAAATTGGGATTCAGTCTGGCCAAATGAAGAATTAGAACCAGGAAATAGAAAGCCTCATTATTCATTCTCTCTCTCTCTCTCTCTCTCTCTCTCTCTCTCTCTCTCTTTCTCTCTCTCTCTCTCTCTCTCTCTCTCTCACCATAAGAAGCAAAAGTAACAAAGGTAAAAATTTATTATCTTACTGACAAATGCCATAATGCAGTGCTATGAGCTGAATTATGTCCCCCACCTCAGAAATTCTTATGTTGAAATACTAATTCCCAGGGCCTCAGAATGTAATTGTATTAAGAGATATGGTTAAAATGAAGTCAGTAGGATGGGCCCTAATTCAATATGACTGGTGTCTTTATAAGACCAAGAAATTTGGGTACAGATACACACAGAGGGAGCACACAGGGTGAAGATAGCCATCTACAAGCCAAGGAGAGAGGCCTGGAACAGATTCTTCCCTCAGGGCTCTCAGAAGAAACCAACCCTGCTGACGTCTTGATTTCAGATTTCTAGCCTGCAAACCATGAGAAGATAAATATCTGTTTTTTAAGCTGCCTAATCTATATACTTTGTCACAGTAGCCCTAGCAAATGAATACAACCAAAAAAAGATGTCCTTGTTTGAGTTGCTTAGGAGAGAATATAAAACCCCGAAGGCATAAGTATTAGAAGCGACAGAATCAAAGAAGATGGTAAAACTGTTCTGTATGACACCGGAAAAAATCTGTTTCCCTCTTAAAGAGAGAAAGAGAAATAATTCAGCAGGAAAGTTTGAAGTGGAAGGACTTTTGTGGGTAAAGACCAGTGGAAATCTCTCAGGAGTCACTGAAGGTATCCCCAGCTGTCAGTGCTGATTATATTGCTGTGATATAAACCCTCAAACCTTCAACAAAATCTACTGCCTATGGAAACAGAAGCCAGAGCCAGAGGTGACTAAAATAACATCAGTTCCCCATCCTTTTATCTCATGGCCCCTCACTTAGAAATCTGTAGAAATCTCATAGAAACCTCCAAAGTCACAATGAATGTGAAATATGGTTTATGCAACATTATCTAAATCTCAAGCCCTGGAGTATTTTAGGTGACCTTTGGATATGCATAGAAAGAGAAATGAAATGGACTTGCAGATAGATGCAGAAATGAAAGACCATTACAGTATTTGTCAGTAAGATAATAAATTTTTACCTTTGTTACTTTTGCTTCTTAGTGTGTATGAGGGAGAAAAAAGTCTTCCCTGCAGCAGCAACTCAACTTAAGTAAGCAGACTTAGCTAATTAGAATTGGGTTTTAATTCCAAATCCCCAAGAAGGAGAATCAGATTGATGGCATTAGATTATATAGCCATCCCTGATTACATATCAGGCTGATGGGGCCCATCCTTGTTGCCAGTGAAGTGAGAACAGGAGCTGGAAAGTTACCTTACGCATTATTTACCATTAAAAGACCAATGTAAATTAAAATTTATTTAGAATTTAATAGAAAACCGCAATATGGTATATTTTCCAATTTTATGGCTGAAACTAACCGTAATAGTAGAATAAACCTTTGCAAATTTATCACTTAGAAAATTTTATGGTTGATCAAGACTTAAAAGAAAAAGAACTTGAAATGAGTATTTTATAATCTATATTTAATGTTGAAATAATTGCTATACTTAAACTTCTAAAATGAAGTTATAGAACTACAAAGCAAAATAAACTTATGGTTAAATATTGCAACTTGCGTTGTCTCAAATTACCTAAGTACTATATAGGTGCTAATGAATTCTTCAACTTGAGGAGGCATGCACTGAAAATTGCATCATTCTGGTTCTGAGTGCTGTTGTAAGCCGTGATTTTTTCTTTCCATCCATAGTTTTTTCCTTTAAATTACTACCATGTGCCAAATTAAGAGATATGAATTTGCAAAGAGCATCATTTTATGTGCCAGCAATAATAACTAGACTCCCTAAAGAAAAGTTACAAAAGTTCAGGTTTCCTATTTCTTTCTTCCTTTCACTTTATACCTGTGTCACTACAATGTATTTTTTTCTGTGACATATGTTAGAAAGAGATTTCCCATGTCTGAGGATGTCATGACCAATGTCTTTAATGTCAAAGAAGTTGTAATTAGCTGGAAACATGGCTGGAAGTCACATTTTCTAAGTAGCAACATGCCCTTACTTCTGGCGTGGAAGGCAGTGGCAAACTTTTTTTGTAATCCTCACCTGAGGATATGTTTTTTTTAAAAAAAATTGATTTTAGAGAGAGAGGTAGGGAGAGAGAGAGACACACACACACACACAGAGAGAAACATCAAGATGAGAGAGAAACATTAATTGGTTTCCTCCCATACAGGGATTGAATCCTGGGTTTGTGTCCTGATTGGGAAATTGAGCCCACAACCTTCCAGTTCACAGGAGGATGCTCCAACCAACGGAGCTACACCGGCCAGGGCAAGGCAGCAGCAAGCTTTTATAGGTCTCTTCCTACCCCTCCAAATCTTTCCTCCTTGGCATTATAACATAGTTATTAGGAGTTAGGGTTTCAAAATTATGAAGTCTTAAGTTGAAATCACAGTTCAACCATGTACTAGGAATGAATTCTTTGGGAAGTTACTGTGCTTCTGGGCTTAGTTTCTTCATCCATAAAGAGGGGTAATAAGATTATTATAAGGATTAAATGGAATAATATTTGAAACATGCTTAGCAAGAACCTGGCACATAGTAAGTACTTAAAAAGTAGTAGCAATGTGTATTGAAAATAATGCTAATCATTATTTTCAATGCTAGACCTGGGAAAACAAAGACGAATAGGTGTGATCCCTGTCTTGAAGGAACTCATAGACCAACAGAGTATGGGAATCAAGAAGTATCACTGTAAATGTATCTTTCCCTTGGGAAGGCACTTGGTACATTATAGAGGTTCTTGGTATTTCCATTGAGTAATACATTATGATTATTTAAAAATACATATAAAGTTAGTCTTAACTTTGTATTTTAAGAATTTTATCATCAGAGCAAATTATTATATTACTAGGGGCCCAGTGCACAGATTTGTGCACCTTGAAAGGAACTGTGGGCTTCGAGGCTGAGGTGGGCACAGGAGCAGGTCTCGGCCCATCCTCCGCGCCCCCACCCGGCACCTCCTGCTGCAGCCCCCTGTCCCCTGTCTGCTGGAAGCCCTGCTCCTGCTGCTGCTGCTCCCACACAGTGATGGCGCCGACCCTGCTCACACCCACTGACAGCATGGAGCAATTGGGGCTGGTGCCAGCAGCGGGTGCCAGCGGCTGCTGCTGCCCCAATCGCCCCTCAGGAGCAGGGGGAGGTGGAGAAGCCCTCAGGGGCAATTGGGGCCGACAGCTGCTGCTTGCACCCACTGATGGCGCCGAGTGATTGGGACTGGTGCTGGGCACCGGCAGCGGGTGTGAGCGCCAGGTGGGACTGCGGCATGCGGAAGCAAAGAATTTTCAGTAACCACTACAGACTCTCCCCGATGATAGCGACTGGTGCCCCACCTTGGTCTGGCGCCCCTGCTCACCTGCTCTACCATCCTGCCATGGCCGATGCCTGCCATGTTCTGCACGTGCTCCCTGGTGGTCAGCGCATGTCATAGCAATCGGTTCAGTTCAGTTGTTTGGTTGTTACAACATTCGGTCTATTTGCATATTAGGGTTTTATATATATAGATAAGTGACTCATTAGAACTGTACGTGTTGGCATTCTCTCTCATGCTCTTAGTTCTTTCCCAGCCACACAGACTGCCAGCCTCTTTCCTAAGTATCAGGTAGAGGACAGGCAGGTAGGCATCAAGCCTAAATGATGGAGCATATTCAACCTAGGAAATTATCTCTGCTCCTTGCTTTGCAGATTGAGAGGAGAGACCAGAATGTAAGATGCAAACTCAAGAAATCTACCCAGAATTGTGGCAAAGAAAAAACAGACTCAAGTCATTCAGTTGGTACCAAAGCCAGATTTCCTCCAAGCATCTGTACCTTAGGGGAAGAAAGAACAGAAATTTAGGAACTCAAGAGATCTGGGTAGGAGCTCAAATCAGCAGCCTGATCTTCACAAGGGCAATCTAAAGGGGGCAGTGCAGGGTGGGAGAGGGGAAGAGAACAGTGCTACCAATGCCTTAGCCCAGTGTCTCTAAACTATTTTGACTGTTGACATTTGTTTATTTATAAATTATATACATGTATCTCTATTTCTAGGAACATCTCAATGCACAATAAAGATAATTGTTAATGATAATTTCAATTATTTGAAAAGAGATTGTGTTGCTTTCTTGTTGCTTGGTGTTGTGCTTAGTTTGTTCATGTTAACGTTACTTTGTCTTTAGAGCCATTGTGTGAGGATTAGGTTGGTAATCCATAAATGTGCTTAATTGGGCACATATAGACAGAAATACATTGCTATATACTGAAATCCAATGAAAAATTAGGGTATCCTTTTTATTACTTTCCATTTGTAAAAATTCTATTCTTTCCTCAGGTTACCTTGAAAACCATATGGAACTTATGTTCTTCTCTAACATTCAAAGGCTGAACTGTCACAATATAGTCACAATATAATCTTTTTGTTTTCTTCCTTGGAAGAGATTGGGAGAAGTTAAGAAAGTAACACTTTGCTTTAAAAAAAAAAATTAATCCTCACCTGAGGATGTTTTTATTGATTTTTAGAGAGAGAGAGGAAGGGAGAGAGAGAAATCTTGATGTGAGAGAGAAACATCAATCTGCACCCCGTATGTGTCCCTACCAGGGATCAAACCCACATCAAACCCACAACCTAGGTATGTGCCCTGACCGGGAATTGAACCTGCAACCTTTTGGTGTACAGGATGATGCTCCCATCAGCTGAGCCACCCGGCCAGGGCAACACTTTGTTTCTTATAATAAAGAAGAGAAATATCCCTAGTTGGTATGGTTCAGTGGATAGAGCATCAGCCTATGGACAAGGGTCCTGGGTTCAATTCCAGTCAAGGACACATGCCTGGGTTGTGGGCTCAATCCCCAGTAGGGGGCGTGCAGGAGGCAGCTGATCAATGATTCTCTCTCATCATTGATGTTTCTATCTTTCTCTCCCTCTCCCTGCCTCTCTGAAATCAATAAAAATATATGAAAAAAAAGAAGAGAAACAAATTGATGTGTAGGGCTGCAGAGAAGAGGAGAAAGAGTGGAGGTTAATTGTATGCATATATGCATTGCCCATGGACAAAGACAATGGGGTGGTGAGGGCCTAGGGCAGGGCTGGGGGAGGCTTGAAGGGAGTCAATGGGGAAAAAAAGGGACATATATAATACTTTCAACAATAAAGAATTATTTAAAAAACAACAACATTGATGCTTTTGCAAAACAAAGAAACAAAAACAAGAAAACCACAAGTAGAGGTTAAAAAGATGTGGGCAATTACCAGAGGGAGGGCATTTTGGGAGAAAGAGATGAGTAAAAGTTCTTTTCTAGAAACATTACTATGTGAACTTGGTATGGTCTGTTGTTTATATCTCCATATCTTCTATTCTGGCTATACATTTTTGACTAAATAAAAATATTGCACTCTAACATTTCTCAATGACAGAGTGTATACAACAGTATACATTCAAATGCCTTTTCTTGCTACTTGCCTATCCAAACCCTGCCTAGTTCATGATCCACCTATATCAGTGATGGCGAACCTTTTGAACTCGGTGTGCCAGCATTTTGAAAAACCCTAACTTAACTCAGGTGCCGTGTCACATATAGAAATTTTTTGATATTTGCAACCATAGTAAAACAAAGATTTATATTTTTGATATTTATTTTATATATTTAAATGCCATTTAACAAAGAAAAATCAACCAAAAAAATGAGTTCACGTATCACCTCTGACACGCGTGTCATAGGTTCGCCATCACTGACCTATATCGTACTATATTTTCTAAAAATGGCAGCAAGTGTCTCCCATCCCACATAATCTTCTTCCAAGGTGATTTTGACACCTCCTCTTCACTGAAGAGGCTAATACAGATGGCAAATAAATGCATGAAAAGATGTTCAACATCACTAGCCATTAGGAAAATGCTAATTAAAACCACATGAACTATTTCTAACACACCTATGGTAACAGCTCAAATTTTAAAAATAGTGCCAATACCAATTGGAAATTTCTTAAAAAAATCAAACATATAATCCAGCAGTCATACTCCTGGTATTTATGTCAGAGAAATGAAAACTTAGGTTCACCCAAAAATCTTTACATAATTGTTCATAGCAGCTTTATTTGTAATTGTTCCTAACTGTAAATAACCAAAATGTCCTATAATAGGTGACTAGTTAAGTAAACAGTGGTATATCCATATCAAGGAATACTTCTTAGCAATGAAAAGGAATGGACTACGTATTGATACATACAATTACTTGGGTGAATTTCAAGGATATTATGCTGAGTGAAAAACATTAATCTTAAGAGGCTACATGCTATATAATTTTATTTATAAAATATTCTGAAAATGACCAAATTGTAGTGATCGAGAACAAACTAGGGTTCTCAGAGTTTAGGGATAATGGGGGGAGGATGTGACTATAAAGGGTTAGCATAAGAGAGATCTTTGTGCTGATGGTTGTGTTTTAATCGTGTTGGTAGCTTCATGAATATACACATGCGATCAAATGGGACAGAAAATGACAATTCAATATCCTGGTGTTGAGTAAATATAGTTACTAAGATGTAACTATTGAGAGAAACTGAGTGAAAGGTATGTGAGACCTCTCTGTACTATCTTTGCAATTTTCTGTGAATCTATAATTATTTCAAAATAAAAAGTTAAGAGAATGAAAGAGACTAAATTTAGATTAGACCTTCATCAGCCTTTGTCTCCACGGCTTCTCTGACACTGCAAAAGGAAGCAGAGGGGCATCACAGGCACAGCAGAAATATTTTATAATTTCTCTTGTGAATTTTTCATTTGATTTCATTTCCAAATATTTGTGAATATTAAAAATATTGTATTTTAATTAATTTTTAATTTAATTCCATTGTGTAAGATTTTAAACTTTTGAAACATTTTCCAGTTTTATTGAGAAATAGTTGATGTGCATTACAGTATAAGTTTAAGGCATCCAGCATGATGGCTTAATGTACACATATTGTAAAATAATTACCAACCTAGGTTTAGCTAACATACAGTTTCTCATATAGAAACAATAAAAAGAAAAGAAAGAAGGTAAGAAAAAAAAGGACAAACATTTTTCCTTGTGATGAGAAGTCTTAGGATTTACTCTCAACAATTTTCCTATGTATCCTGCATCAGTGTTAGCTATAGCCATCATATTGTACATTACATATGTGCTTACTGATCTTATTACTGGAAGGTTGTCCCTTTTAATTACTTTCCTCCAATTCTCTCTCTCCCCACCCTTTGCCTCTGGTAACCACAAGTCTGATTTCTTTTTATATGAGTTTTTTTGGTTAAATTCCACATATAGGTCTTTCTCTGACTCATTTCACTTAGCAAAATGCCTTTAAGGTTCATTCATGCTGCTGCAAATGGTAGAATTTCCTTGTTTAAATTTTTTTCCAATTACAATTGACATTCAATATTGTATTAAGTTTTATACCAGTTTAATAACATTAACAATGAGCCACATCAGCTGGGCTGAAATAATATCTTCTAAGAGCTGAGGTAAATTAATTGTTACTTAAAAGTCAATAACTACCCAAAATATCACTCAAGAGAAAAGCTCACAGATATTTCCAGAAAGAGCACTAAGCTTTGTACTTCATTCAGAAACAAACTGAAGTGCAGATAGAGGAAAGAAGGGTGCAGAAGTTAGGTTATCAAACTTTTGTGGTCACACAGCCAAAGAAGAATGGGTTTAAGAGGAAGGCCCCTCTTGTTCAGAAACAGTATGAGAATGAAAAAGAAATTCTAACAATTTATATTCATTCTTTGAGCTAACTTGTGAGAGAGTTCTTGTGTCTATGAGTTCTAGAATGGTATAAGAAAAACTCATTCAGATATTATCCTTTAAGGAGAACATGGAGCACTAAAGGTAAATTGTGAAAGTTTATAGTACTTGAAACTCCATTTGTGCAGAATGAATTTTTAGTCAATGAGCATGATTACATAAACTTTGAGAAATATTAAATAATTGATGGTGGTATAGCCATGTTAAGAAACCAAAGGTGGAGAGAGAAGCCAAATTGAATCAACAAAACGACTTTTAGCAAATACCAAAACATACATTATCTCTGTATTTGGGGATAAATTCGAGGCAATAAAACACATATGATGTTGTATTTTTAAAAAACATCACCTGATTTGTTTTTTTTTTAAACCAGGCTTACAAGCTACAATGTAATCTTTTAAAATTATAGGCAATTACAAGAAAGTACATTAAACCTCAGTTAATCACAGTTGTTTCAAAAATATGTCCCTTCTCTTAACAAAGCAGTAACCCAGCCAAAACTTGGATAAACTGGCATTTCCCTAGATCACATGTTTCATTCCTAAACACAATGGCCCATGTGTTTCTTTCAGGTGTCCATACTTTCTCTGAAAAATAGATCTCCCCTTCCAAAGCTTGAGCATTATCTGCTCTTTGTTTGAAAATAAATGCGCTGTTCATGTGTGGACTAGTAGTGCAGGTGTTTTTCCTCTCTTTTCCCAGCCAGGCTGATTCTTAAGCCTTTCATGAAATCAGTTCAGTTTAGTTAAATCTCTGACATCCACTTCTCATTGCCATTTCCCTTTATGGCTATAATATAAGCCCCAATCCAACCAGATCATCTTTCATTCCATTATGTTTATATCAGGATTTGCCGACACTACTTTCTCAGTTCTCGAAGGCTAACTTCAGGGCAAGGCCAAAGTTCTGATGAAGCTTTAGCAACCCAGGCTGCTTTAATTTTCCCTGAACTTCTAAGTGCTCTCTTATGGTACGTGGACTTGCTCCTGTCACTGGAAAGCATTATCTGAAAGCTTTGCATGAAATTAAACTCCCTGAGGTGTAACCAAACTGAGTAAAGTCATAGAAGCGTGTATTGAAACAACTCTTTTCCGGGGCATGTGAAACACTGACATTCTTAACACAGTGAGGATTGGTATTGAATGTCAGGTAACTGATTCTGTCT